TTCAACATCCTTAGCCATTGGGGAAATGTATAATGACTCTTGAGATACCATCTTATATCAGGCAGAATGGCTAAGATAAAAAAAAATCACCAATGATAGCATATTCTGGAGAGGATGTGGAGTAAGAGGAACATTCCACCATTGCTGGTGGGAATGCAAACTTGTACAACCACTCTGGAAATCAGTATGGCGGTTTCTCAGAAGATTGGAAATCAACCTACTTCAGGACCCAGCAACACCCGCCACTTTTGTGGTTTCGTGCATGTCAGCCACCACCCTACCCACTGAGCTGCAATCCTAGATTTTTTTTTCTTTTTCTTTTTAAATATTTATTTATTATGTATACAATATTCTGTCTGTGTGTATGCCTGCAGGCCAGAAGAGGGTATTACAGATGGTCCAGATGGTCATGAGCCACCATGTGGTTGCTGGGAATTGAACTCAGGACCTTTGGAAGAGCAGGCAATGCTCTTAACCTCTGAGCCATCTCTCCAGCCCTGCAACCCTAGATTTATAAACATTTTTTTGAGTATGAGTTAGTTGGAAGACAGATGTACCTGACAGTGAATCCCCGGCCTGCTCCGGTGGAGCTAACTAACAGAATAGGAATGAAATCCCTGACATTTTATGACATGCACAATAAACAATGACGGGGGCATCATCTCCAAAAATCTCTTTGGATGACTTGTGTCATAGACCAAGGAATACTAGGATCAAAGCAAATCTAACCCTGAAATACCAGTACTTCCCATTCCTAAAGCCTGCATTGCCCCTACAATTGACATTTTATATATAATGTTAGTGTATATATGCAATTGAACAATAGAAGCATATATGAGTATGGTTTAATTTGTGACAAACAGAATCTTCCAAGTTGAGTTCAGTTGTGAAACACATGCTGTTTCATATTTATTTATTTATTTATTTATTTATTTATTTTTGGAACACATACCATTTTAAATGAAACCTGTTGACCTCTTCCCATTGCGTGGCTGCAAAATAATAGATCGGAAAGAAATTGTAACTAATGAGGTGAGATAATTGCCAATGAAAGAAGCCTAATAATATAAAGGAGGGTACAGTGAGGTGACCCAACAAGCTACGGACAGAACAGAAAAGGGCTCGTTGGACCTGACACCTACAGTTTCTGATTTACTAAGTCCGAGGTGGAACTTGGAAATCTATTTTTTTTACCAAGTTCTGAGACACTGCTAAAGCTGCCAGGACCATGATGAATTAGAAACTACTCTGTTTTGCATATAGGGAACCAACATTCGATAAGAAATGCTCTCAAATTTCATTTTGATGCAAACCAATGCTAACTCTCCAAAATCACGGTGTTTCATTTTGTATACTCTTGCTGTCAATCCAGTCCTGCAATCCAGTCCAGTCCATTCTCCAATGCTGACGTAAATTTTCCCACAGGAACACGACCTTGGGCCTCAGGATGAAGTTGAAAATTTTCAGCTAAATGTTTCATTAAATACATCCTGTCTAATCTCTGGTGCTCACACGTAAAGCCATCTCTGTGTCACCTCCAGTCCCCAGGTAAGATGTGTGTCCCAACTCTCATCTAAAGCAGACTTACAGAGGATGTGGTAGGATGTATACAAATAACACATCATTTAATACAAAGGACTTGAGTATCCTCTGATTTTGGTTTTTTAAAACAATCCTCCTTAGATACCAAGGGATGACTTTATAAGAAAGTCTGAGCTACTGGGCCAACAAGTTTATAATTATTGTAGACCTCTGTGTGTTTCTTTGGGACTGAACAGCTGAGGGGCCAGGCAGGACAGAAACCTCCACCAACAGTGTACCTTCTTTTAAGATATTTTCTTTTACCGTAAATCACATATATGTGTTGGTGTACGTGTGGATGCAGGTGCCCACAGAGGTCAGGGCAGAGCTCTAGATGCCCCGGAGCTGCAGTTACAGGCTGTGAGCTTCCGGAAGCAAATGCTGGGAACTGAACTCTGTAAGAGTAGTATGTGCTCTATCTTTTCATTCCCATCTATTAATACCTTCCCTAATACCTATTAGAAGTCCAGGAAACAGTTGTTGAATACATTTATTACATATCTAACTTTCTGGTTGTGCGTTAAGAAGCATGCAGAAAACATGGCTATTTAGAAGTAGATTTATATACAAATGCAAAATGATAAACCTGGTCACAAAACTATTTCTACTTGTAGTTTTTATTATTATCGAATTTTTAACAGTTTGTAAGCATAGTCACAACTCTTGCAACCTATTGGATCAAAACTCTAATAACCAATTCCTTGGCTTTTGTTTCCTTTACATAAAATATCATGAGATTAAGCTGTGAAGTAATGAATGCTATTGGAGCATTTACACATGGGGTAGTGGAAGGGAGATCAGAGACGCTCTGGTTCCAAAAACAGGGTAGTGTGAGGAATAAAATCAAATCAAGTGTCTATAAGTTCACTGCAAGACTTCATTAAGACAAGTTAATTCGGTGAACATACATTTAAAATACTTTGTTAATTTTCATTTATGTTGATCATAAAATGCCATATATACATACCCTGAATAAAAAGAATCCCCTGCTTTGACCAGCAAAAGGACTCCGGAACTCTTCCTGAAAGAAATAAGGATGGCATAACAAATTAAATAACACTAAAACAAATGTGTAGCGAAGTTCAATATTATTTTAAGTTTTCCAACTCAACGAAAGGTACCAAAGGCTTGAGTAGAGTCTTCATGCCATAGAGAGCTCTTACGTTTACACCTGAACCATTTCGACAGCCTCCAGTATCCCCAGAATGGTGTATTTAAAAATACATTCTTCATAGATTTTCTTTTAAAAATTTTGTCAAGTATATGTACATTCATCAATAAATAGAAAGAAAATGTCAGGTACGACGTATTTAAAAGTCTCTTTTTGACATTGTTCTAGAATAAAATACTCCCTTTAACAGAAGTGTTAGATGTGGTGACACGAACAGGGAAAATACAGCTGGAATTGCCGTTACAGCAAGAATAGAATACTTCTACATGGAACTCGAGGGGCAGCTTTAGCCAATGCCTTGAAAGAGGTTGTCTTAATATTATTGCATGTGCAGAACAATAATAAAAAGTGCCAAAAAGGAACAGCTGTAATACAGGCATATTACATAGCGTTACTTAAGACGCCATCCTAAACTATGGAAAGAAAATTTAACATTTTATAGTTTCTTTATAATTGACTTGTAGTGTCCTGTTTGCATTAATAATTCATGGAGATCAATAAATTTATCATTCAAAACTCTTTTCTTATAAGAAGAGTTATATTCTTTATTTTAAGAAACGACTCATTTGTATTTAAGTTAAAAAATCCTTGATTTACAGAAAATCTATCTCTAATTCCCAATATTTGTACTTAATTCTTATTTTTATTATACTCCTCAAATTACTTAAGGTTGAATCATTGGTATTTAAAATGTATGTGCAGAAACTCTGTGTTAAGGTACTTGTCTAAAAGCAGGTCCTGTGTATATTCAAGATTTAAAGAGGGCACAATGAAAATTAAATATATTAATCACTTAAAACATTCAAATGCAACACCAAAGCAAAGGTTTTCAGGATGCTGTCATCAGAGACGGAGTCCTCAAAAGCTGAAATACTTAGGAAAGGAGAGATAAAAAGGGGACTAATCAGATAGCTGTCTGCAACGACCATAGTCTCGCTCAAGCCAGAAAAGGGAGCCATGTGCTAACGGGACATAGTAATGAATACCACTCAACCTTTCCTGTGTAACTCGTGAGACTGAAATGATGTAGGCAAAATAATTATCGCTGGTTGATACAGACATTGTAGGAAATAAAGTCAAACTTTTAAAGTGTGCATTTATGTCTAGAAAACTTGATGACAATTGACTTTCTTCTTCAGTCTGAGAATTCTACCACTTGGGGGTGGAGGGCACTGGAATTGAACCTAGGGCCTCCCACATGCCAGGCTGGTGCTCTACCATCGCGCTTTAGTCCCAGCCTTGAGAATTCTACATATTTAAGGTGTCATTAAATCCCCTGTTAGATATCTCTTGAAAGTTAGCAGCAGATAGCAGTATTCAACTGAAGCTAAAATTGTGAATAACTTTGGGAGGAAATAATGATCATATAAAACATAAATTCTGGGGCATTTACTCATCTAATGGCATGCTTTTTTAAAACGTGCGTTATAAAGAGTTTAAAAATAATCAGCATCAAAGTTAAGAAAACAGCAGACCCAAATTCAGCTTTTAAATATGTAATGGTAACCATATAATAATGAAAGTAACCATCATTAAACCATAAAGGGAATATCACAATGAAGACATTCTTGTTTGTTTGTTTTGCCCAGACTAAGGGTCAGTGAACTGCATGGTCACTTCTCATACTAGACAACTCATGGACACTTATCTAACTTCCCTTTTGTTAGCTTGAGTTCTCAGAACCTGCAAAAGCCCAGCCAGGCTCCCAATAAATCAAAGGTGGTAATACTAGACCCAAAATACAAAGTCTCGCTTTAAAATGCTACCCAGGACTTCCAACATGAAAAGTGTCAGGATTATTATTCACTGACCCTGAAAAGTCCCAGTTTCTAGTTAACAGTATGTTAACTTAGTTATAGTCACCTTACCCATTAGTACTAGTTAACAGTGTGTTAGCTTATAGTCACCTTACACATTAGTACTAGTTAACAGTGTGTTAGCTTAGTTATAGTCACCTTACACATTAGTACTAGTTAACAGTGTGTTAGCTTAGTTATAGTCACCTTACACATTAGTACTAGATTTAGTACTATTTTTGCTATTCATGGGAAAAATGAAACATTGACATTTGTTTTATGATGTGTATGTTTACGATCCTTATTCTTATCAATGTTTTAACACTTGGACAAAAAAAATAATTATACCACCCTGGCTATTTGTCAGCAAGAACACAGGGGTAATAAATTTTACTTGATTGGATTGTCAATTCCTCCCTAAAGACCAAACACCCAGAAGTTCCATTTCTTAAATCAGGAAAACATTTTCTCAATGAGAGTGACATGGGAGGTCACCCAAGTTTTCCTCAATGTCCAGGGCTCGAGCTAGAAGGGGCCAGAACATGGAGAGAAAAAAAGATTGCACAACGCGATTGTGCAGGTTAACCAAGCATGTGATGGTTCGGATGTGCAATGTCTCCCAAAGGCCTTGCGCTTGGTCATCAGCCTGTGGTCCCATTGAGAGGTAGTGGGATCTTTCCAAGGCAAAGCTAGTAGAAGGACATTATGTCCCTGCATGCATTCAACTTGAAGAGAATGGGGACACTAACCTCTTCCTCCCCCACCCCGGTCACCGCAGAGTGAGAGGCTTTGGTCAACTGAACACCTTCACCACAACCACTTCCCCACAGGTAGAAAGCGATGCGGTTTATCAAGTTGACCAAAGACTGAAACCTCTAACTTGTTGAGCCCAAATACTCCATTGAAGCCATGTTTTCTCCGACACACTGTCATTGTGACAGAAAGCCGATGTGAGGGCCTCACCCTGAAGAAGGGTAGCTTACAAAAGACCAGCGCTGCAGTTAGCAGAAGGGGCTGCCCCCGAGTGGCAAAGCCAGCATGCACTTTGTGTTCCAGATGCCCACCTTGAATCTCTTCATTCTTCTCTCATGGAGCTGAGGAACGAGCTGCAGCAACGGATGCACGACAGACGACTGAGGACATGAACACACACGATGAGCACCAGGCTCTTCAGCATTGGGTAGTACGACACTTTCCTGTCTGTCTGTCTGTCTGTCTGTCTGTCTGTCTGTCTGCTTTTTACCCACTATTCTTGCCCAAGACCAGAGGACCAAAAAAGGGAGATTAAAGATATTACCCGACAGACTGTTGGAAGCCATTTAAAGAGCTGCAGTAAATAAACCAAGGAGTGGGATAGAATTTTCTAGTCCATAAACCAAGAGGTGGGGCAGGTTGCTAGTCCTACACTAAGCTCTTTGTTGTTATTTGAAGAAGCATTTTGCTGAGGGCCTCAGATCAGCTACAGCGGCAACAGGTGCATCCCCAGATGCCTCTCGGGGGGGGGGGGCAGAAAGCCGTCTATCATCTTCTACTCTTACTCAAAATAATTTGGTCCAAACGAAGGCAACTTGCCAGTATCAGTTTTCCCTTACAAACATTGCTATCTGGGTACGTATAGCACACACACCTGGAAATCTCCTTTATAAGCCAAATATTTAAAATGGAACAAGAACAAGACAAGAGGGGACAGAAAGATGACAATGTGCTGCTGGTAACAGAAAAGGTGACAAAGACACATTTCTAAAAATGAAGAGATGTATGGAAGAAAACGAAAGCGCAGCTGAGACACACAGCCACCTGATACAGCTGCACTTTCTTAAGGTCTGGGGTGAACTGAGCTTCCTTGCTAACAGTAAATTCATTTAACAAATGGATGACTGTAGATCCTAGATGATGATTATCTGCTTATGAATGCAACCTGTGCTTGCTATGTAGCTAATCTAACTTAAAACCCTCATCTGTTCACATGTAAGCTTATTCTGTGTGGTGCAAACTTCAAATAGAATCCAAGTTCACGTTTACCTTTCCAGGACATGTTTAAGACACTTTGTCCTTCTCATCCCCTAAACCGTGCACGGTAGTGGATCCCAAGCTTACAAGGACTACTTCAGACAAATAACTTCTATGTTTATTTATTTTTCTGGTGCAGAAGATAAAGCCCACGGCCTTGTTTATAGCATGCAAGGACTCTTCCTACCATGCTACAGCCCTAGCCAGTTTGTATTTTTAAAGTCTATACAAAACTGAAACTAAAATGAAATAACAAAAGCAAACAACCAAAAACGACCACCGAAACCACAGAAGTCTGATGTGACTTAAGCCTGGGTTACTCATTTCTGGGTACTCTGAGAAAACATTCTCACAATGAACATCCACCTAACGGTAATGAGCGAGAAGACATGATATTTCCAGCTGGCCACCGATCCTTGTCTTCTGAAATAATTCTTTTTAAAAGTGTCTTTGGATGACACCACATTTCTCTTCCATTAATATCACCCCAAATGATTCATTTTACTTATTTGTTTGTTCTTAGACTTCTTTTTTTTTTTTTTTTTGGTCATTGAATACAAATTGATAAAGGAGGGGTTCCTCTCTTAAATTTTTTTTTTTACTTACTACCATATATTTGGCATTTAGAGTTGTGTCCGACACAGAATTGTGAATGGGTGAATATAGGCACACACAGTTATTGACATGAAAAGTAAATATTGATTTCTATTCATTCACTCACATAGAAGCTTAGTTCTTTCCCCTTTATGCTACTAAAGAAGGAGACACTGAGCTACATCTTCAGACCCATTCATAACTTTTTGAGTAAAAAATGTGAGTTGTAGTCTCATGCTATGCTAGATAATTTTTTAAAATTAGTTTCCTCTTAAACACATGCTAGTGACTACTTACCACAATATTTGAATTTCCCGACTTCTCTGTCTTTGAATAATGAAATAAGAACTGTTAAAACAGAAAGGAGAGTTGCGTATCAAAGAGCTGCGGCTTCCTCTGTTCTTCTATAGGGTATATGTATTCAGGAAAATCACCTTACCCTCTTAGTATTATCTTTCTCATTTTGTTCCTAGTGAAGAGATATATATCATTATAACATACATTATACAACTTTATGTTACATACTTGGAAATTATGGAATGATGTAAAATTTCAAAAGTATGATGTTGTATTTCAAACATAGGACTCAAGTTCATTAAGCATCTTTTGCTCCAAAAATAAATGAAAATTTGATTAAATATTACTTATAAAAATAGACAGTGATCTTTTCTATAAAATTACTTATAGGAATAAAAACTCAAAGCATGCTCATGTTTAACAGTGATGGGATGGGAAATTATAATGCAACTGCATAATGGAGTGTCCAGAGCAAACGAATAAGCAGACAACATCAGAGTACTTTTAATTGTCATGACTAAATAAAACTATGAACTATTTTTCTGTCATAAGCTTCCCCGTAGTCGCTTGTCTCTAAAATGTCTGTGTTTTAAGGCTCATATCACTTTTTTTTGTTTCATAAATGAAACTCTTAGCACCAAAGAAAGACAATGGATAGATGTTACTGTCATTACTTTGATCTTAATTAGAAAAAAAACGCGTTTTATTACACTTTTGGAGGGGAACGTCACCACTAGAAAGAATAGATTAATTTGCCACCGAATCTGAAATTTCAGAAAACATCAATGCCTTCAAACTATCAGTTTCTTTCCTTGAGTCATTGTTTGTGGAAGGTTTGGTGGCTGCACTGTAGGGTAGGTTTGAGAGGCAATGAAATACATCATTCGGAACCCAAGGCTTTCGCCTTTAATGGGGGTGTTAGGATTTGTTCAACCTGAAGCACAGGCTAGAACTGAGGGTTAATGGTGTGTGATCTCTCAGGCTTCCATCTGCCTTCACCTAGGCCAACGCGCTCTCCTGGAAAAATCAGATAATTCAAAGCAGAAACCAGGAAACTGAAGCCATCAGAATTTTCAAACTGACATTGATAATTCTGTTGTCTGGTTTGGTTTTCCTTGTGTCTGCTTGTTTGTTTGTTTGTTTGTTTTTCCCGCTGGTGGGGTGAAAGCCGAGGCTGCACGCATGCCAGCCAAATGCTCTCCCCAGCTCTGATTTTCCGTTCTTAATGTCCTACGCTATAACAATATTCAGCAGCTTAAATTCATTCTTGTCTCCCAGTTGTACGAGTGGGTGAGACAAGACTGTATGATCATTAATTTGTTCCATCAGACCACATTTTATGCTTGAAGGAGACCCGCGATTTCCTAATTAGCTGATTATGAACTTTACCAGTATGAAGATATGAGGTATCAGAGAAAATGAAACATTTGTGTCCCAAGTCAGCGAGTCTTCTAGCTCCTGTTGACAGGCTTCCTAAATTGGGCATATTTTCTTCAAGGAGGAGGAATTTCAAGACGTTTGTTTGGTTGGCTGTTTGGCTACAGGACTTCAGTCTTACCTGAGGCTTCTGGCGGATCTCCGTCACCACACGGCAAAACTCCCTCAGTGCAGCGGATGCCTAAGGCAAACAAGAAGACACATGGGCTGGGCTTCTCTTAGCACCTGCACACAGGGTGAAGTTTAAGATGTTGGAAGCACAGTGTATTCCATCTGCACTGCAAAGAGGTCCTTACTGTGGTCCACTGAAACTCTGTAGGGGTCAATGGATTTCTCTCAAAATAATCTTTTGGCTGCTAAAACATCCTTGGGCCAGGGCGATGGCTCAGCGGGTAAGAGAGTTTGCTGGGACTGCAAGAGGACTTGAGTTCAAATCCCGAGCACCTTCACAAAACTCTCCAGCATTGGGCATGGAAACAGGTAGATCCTGGGAGGGTGCTGACCCATCAGTCTAGATACAGGGACAAACTCAGGCTCTATAAGGTCCTCATCTCAGCAAACACGGTGGAGAGGGATGCTGGAAGATGCATGGTGTCTTCTTATGGCCTCTGCTCGGGTGGACATGGGTGTGCATTCCCATGTACACGCACACACACACACACACACACACACACACACGTATGCACGCGTACTTGAGCACACGTACAAGAAGCAAACAAACAAAACCCTCTTTCTTTCCTTGCAGCAGCCATGCACCGATTGAGGCTTTCGCTGTGGTCCTGTTCCATAGCTCTCAACACTCGCTGAGAGATCATGGAACCCTATGACTAAGACAACCTGGGTCGTGCCAGCAAGGGATTAATCCTCCCTCCCGGCTTGTGATGGAGTGCGTGCGCATGCCAAAGCTGTGAGCCTCACACAGCATTACTCATTCCTGGCTAATTTGAAAATCCTGCCATTGCTCTCAAACAATGGGAACCGAAGGACGAGAAGTCGTGCGTGGTGCCCCTAATCTGGGTGCCTCCCTTTCCAGGTTGCTGACTGCACGTCCCAGGATCAGGTTTGTCAAAGCATCAGAGCGCAGAATTAGGACAGGAATCCTGTGGTTGGTAGCCAGCTGGGCGTGGTAAGGAGTGGCACAAATGGACAAGCAGGGGCAAACCCTGCCGTGCACAGGACCTAGCAGAGTCGCCCCGTGAGCCACGGGGTCCTTATAGGTTCCTTTCTGGAGTAACATAAAGCTGGGGCAGCGTGACCGTGGTGCAAGTGAAAGAGCCTGGAACTAGACAACAGTGCGGATCCCATTTCTACCCCACACCGTGTTACTGCAGGCTGGTTACTTAATCTCTTTACACCTCAGTTTCTTCAGCCAGAAATCTGGGGTGACGTCACTGCAGGAAGTTCCTGGAAGGATTAAAAGCAGGAAACGCTCCGGTTTAATTTCCGGTGGCAGGTACTCTCAGTTTAGAAAAGATGGCTCCATGTTGTCTGTCAGTATTCTCACCCAGTGGACCTGGCGGGACTGTCTGTGCTCAGAAACACAGTTAGAGCCACTGTGCTGAAGGTCTGCTTTTATCTTCCTCCTGCTGTCTGTTTGCTTTCCAGGTAAATCGTTGGGATATATATATTAACACAACACGGACCATATGGATACATGGTGTTTCAATGCGTTAGAAAATACTCTCCTGCACATAATTTCCATTCCGTTCTGAAAACGTATGAACAGGGGACACAGGACAGCAATTGGCACTTTTTGTATAGAGGAAATGAGGTCCCACCCGATTGTCACTTGCCCGGTACCTTAGGAAGTTGTAGTTGACTGTGTGGCCTTCTACTTAGTGATACACCTTGGTGGTCTCAGCAATGCCTGCTGATTCTATAGTTTGGAGTTAACTATTTTTCAGTTGTTTTATGGTGCTGGGGTTATCACATAAAGGCCTGCTGGGTTGGTGCTCTCCCACTGAGGCCCAGTCCCCGGCTATCGGGAGTGGAATGACGGAAGTCCACAGTGTGGCCTGCCCTTCCTTGCCTGTTCCTTTCAGGCCACTCCCGGAGAATCTGGTAATAAAAGCCCTAAAGTTCTTATTTCAAATAGCCCATATGGAAATGCAGTAAAATCCAAAATAACAAAAGGGAAATACTTAGCTATGTCCCATGTCAAAGAGGCATTTCAATCAAAGAAGACTGTATTTACATGCGTAGGTTGTAATCGCTCCTTAAGAAACCATGGCTGGGTTCACCTTCTTACTTAGCTTCTCTAGGATAACGAATCATTGGCTCAATGTCCTTTATTTATGGCTAAAAACCAATTATGAGTGAGTACATCTCATGTTCATCTTTTTGGGTCTGGGTTACCTCACTCAGGATAGTGTTTTCTATTTCCATCCATTTGCATGCAAAATTCAAGAAGTCATTGTTTTTTACTGCTGAGTAGTACTCTAATATGTATATATTCCACACTTTCTTCATCCATTCTTCCGTGGAAGGGCATCTAGGTTGTTTCCAGGTTCTGGCTATTGCAAATAATGCTGCTATGAACATAGTTGAACAAATACTTTTGTAGTATGATAGGGCATCTCTTGGGTATATTCCCAAGATGAGACTTGGCAATAACACTGACGTTTGAAAGGAAACACTTAAAAATAGATGCATTTGCTCTAGCTCCTCTCTGTAAGAAGCCATTGTTCTCAACAATTCTTAAATGACTTTTATACATGGGATAGGTGATATTTTATCTTGTATTTATGGGTCTTAAATTTTTATTTGGAAAAACATCTTGACACACTATTCAAATTAGTCACATTGTTAATAAGAGTTAATGTGGAATTCATATTTAAAGTATTGAAATGTATTATAAACGTTATAGATGTAAATGACAGAGACAGCACACCTGCCAGGCTCTTGTTAATGGGAGGCCTTCCCATTAAGGGGAGGACAGGAGAGAAGCAGATGTGAGGAGGGGGAGGGGAGTCAGAGGAGAGAAGGGAGAGGAAACGGCAGTCAGGATGTAAAATAAATGAAAAAAAAAAATGAGTTAATTTTAAAAAGGTGCCCAGAAATGAAGTTCAATAAAGAGTTAACTTGTGGAGCTGGGGCAATGGCCCAGTGCTTAAAGAGACAGCTGCATGAGTGTGGGGGCAGAGTTTGGATCTTATGCAAAGGCAGGGTGGGTGTGTTAGCCCCATTTCAGCCTCAGAAGGTGGAGCTGGGATCCCTAGAGCTGGCTAGCAAGACTGGCCATATAGGCAAGGTCTGGGTTTGATTGACAGACCCTACTCCAGTGAATAAGGTGGGAAGGGAATGAAAGATGATTTCTGACATTAATCTGGAACCTTCACATGCATAGCACACAAGTACAGTGTACAGTGTACATCCTCACATAGAGTGTGTCCACATACATGCACACATACATACATATATACAATATATATATGCATGCACTACACACATACACATACAGAGAGAGACACACACACACACAGATACACACATACACACACATATATACCATAAATAGAAAAGGACTAAGTTAGTTTATGTTGATAAAGTTTAAACAAGTGATTAAAAATGTATCCAGTAGGCACTGTGGATATGAAACTAATGCTGTTCCTGAATTATAAGGTCAGCACAAAGGCTTCCATGCTAATATCTATCACACGTCACTCACCTGACAGTGCTTCTTGTGGTTTGAATACGTCTCCCAGAGACTCACACGTATGAACACTGGGTCCCCAGTTTGTGGCACTTGGGGGAATCTGTGGAGCCTTTGGGAGGTGGCGTTTTGGTTGGAGGAAGTAAATCACAGCAGATGGGCCTTGAGGTTTTATAGCCTGGCACCACTTCCTGTCACTGCCTGCTTCCTGTGTACTGATACAATGCGGCAGGTCAGCCTGCAGCTCCTGCCGCCATGCTCCTCCTGCCCTGACGGACTGTATTCCCCCAGCCATGAGCCATATAATAAACCTTTTAGCTCCTCGCTGTTTGTTGGGATGCTTTTTCACAGCAGAGAGAGAGTAACTAAGGCAAAAATTGGAGTTGAAAACAAGAATTTGAAATACTGTTCCCTGCCCTCTGCCCAACCCCACGCAAATGCCTCTAACTTCTGGCAGGGAAATCTCTGCAGCTGGGAAACAGCATTACACAAGGCTGCATCTCCACTCCTGCCCTATGGAGAACCATATAAATGGTCACTTAGCCTGGGCCAGAGGATGTGGATGAGGTGCACACGTTTCTGTCAAAGACCCTGGAGGCACTGAATCCGAAAACAGAGTCAGTAAGGTGAAGTCTGGGTCCTTGCACTCAGACCTGCAGACGGAAGCAGCAGCAGCCAGTAAAATCTGGATAGAGATAGCACACTTGTCTCCCTGCAGAGGGGGTAGACTGGCACTCCCCTCACCCTCCTCCTATGAGAAAAGAAGAAAGCTACCTCCCGGGTAGCTGGAAGCAGGAGAGTGGGCATGTGCAGTTCAGCCTTTGGTCAGCTGTCCTTGTGCAGTATCCGCCTCAGCTCTGGTGGGAGACTCAGGGACACTGGCTAAGCCCTCCCAGAAAGCTTGGTTCTGGTCCTAGATCTATAACAATAGTGAAACTGGCATTTTAATAACTGTTCCAATGGGTTTCAAACTCACTCGGGAGCAAGATATCAGCTCTCTGGATAGAGCAGTAGGTATGGCTTTTTTTAAAGCACAATTTGATTTTGAAATTAGCATTTTGATAGTCCTCGATTTCCATAATAAATTTATTTTACTTAAAAATAAAAGGTTACCCTTTTCAAACAGAAGCCCATGGTCCTGATATTACCTGAAGGTAATGCACTAATATCGACTGTGACAAGTCTCAGTGCGTCTGAGGGAGAAATGGAGGTTTTTAAGCAGCAGCCAATGCCCACGTTATTACGTTAACACCACCAGATGAAATTACCTCAGCTTGGGAGTCAATAGAGAGAAAGGATGAGCAAGCTTCATGCACCTGCAGGAAACAAAGACCTCAGTTATTTTTGTGGAGGAGACTGTTCGTTCATTTCCCGACTGCACAGACCCAAATAATCACACAGAAACTATATTAATCACAATACTATTTGGCCAATAGCTTAGCCATATTCCTTGCTAGTGCTTACATTTTGAATTAACCCGTTTGTATTAATCTATGTATTGCCACGAGGCTGTGACCTATCAGGAAGGTTCCACCTGGTGTCTGTCAGTAGTTACATGGCGTCCCCCTGATTCCACTTACACTCTTTTTCCTGCCTGGCTTTAGTCTGCTAAGCCATTGGCCGATACAGCTTTATTCATCAACCAATAAAAGCAACACATATAGAGAAGGACATCCCACATCAAGTTATACCCTAGAAATAGAAGAGACCCAAACATAAAGCAGACTTCACGGAGTTATCACATATACAGACAGCAATCAAAGAGCCATGGCAGCCTTGACCCCCGAGTTCAGAGAAGAGGCAACTCTACAGCCTTATAAGAAAGTCCTGGGTGCTAAGAGTGGTAGTGTATGCCCATGATCCCATCTCTGCGGCAGGGGGATTGCTGTAAGTTAGATGCCAGCTTGGACTACACAGTAGATTGAAGGCTGGGATGCACAGTAAAACCCTGCAGAAAGGAAAGAAAGAGATGGAGGAAAAGAAGAAAGGCGGAAGGGGGGATGTGAAGGAACAAAGGGAGAGAAAGGAAGTCCTAGAATTGGGAGCTGTCCAAGATTCCTCCCCAGCCACTAGGATCTATGTCCCCAGTAACAGCTGATAGAGACCATCAGAGTGTTTGATGCAAAGAGTCCTGAAATCACTCAGCCTGAGCAACCTGACAACATGACCAAAAAAAAAAAAAAAAAAAAAAAAAAAAAGACCTCAAAATGGAACGCCGTTGGTTGCTGTACAGATCTGCATTCGACATGCCTCTGATGTCATCTCACTTAGCCTGATAACTGCATGACACACAGCATATAGGGAAACTCTTAGGCCAACAGAAGCCACAGGTCTCCATCTCCCAAGGAATGCTTACGCGACTGTGGCTGGCAGCTGCTGTTCTCAGCCTTTATCCTAAGGAGAAAATGTTAGCGGTCTTACACTGTAGCGCACAAGCTGCCTCAGACAGCGCGGGCCTAGGAGCCCAGCACTTGGGAGGCTGAGGCAGGAGGATCGAACGTTCTAGACGAGCTTAGACTACCTAGAGAGACTGTTATAAACAAGAAGAATAAAATAAAGCAGCGATTTATAGGAATCATAAAAAGCTGTGCTGGCAAGTTAAGCCCGAAGCTGTGTTTATGGCATGGATGTCTTTGGTGGCCTTTCAAAACAGGGCCAGAAAAACTAATAGCACCAATGCTTGGGGTGTCTGGAGTGGTTTCAGTTAAATCTTCTTTATGGCACGACATCACAGAGCCCCTTCCTGTGACAGAATTCTTTATTGGTCTACGTAATTGAAATTGTATTCTCACACCAGACCAAGAGGGGTAGTTATGCTCCTCAACTTAACTTCTTAAGCTCTCTGTTGCTTCTAAGTTGACAGCCTCTTGAAATATAAGATTTTTGAGCTTAGGGAATAGAAAGAGCACAAGCCAGTGCAGAAAAGCATGATCTCATATCTGCCACAGCTCACAGAACACATCACCTGGCAAGCCACAGGTATGTGAGGAATATTTAGAAATTGTGTCATGTACCTGCTCCCACTTACACACACACACACACACACACACACACAGACTTTTGAGTCAAGAGTTACATTGTCTTTAACTTGATCAGAATAAATATTAAATAAAAGTTCTTGAATTGAATTTTGAAAGACAGAAATGCAAGAAGAAGAAGAAGAAGAAGAAGAAGAAGAAGAAGAAGAAGAAGAAGAAGAAGAAGAAGAAGAAGAAGAAGAAGAAGAAGAAGAAGAAGAAGAAGAAGAAGAAGAAGAAGAAGAAGAAGAAGTTAACTGAAGGGTGAGCTGAAAAGACAATGCTCCCTGAAGCTGTATTGACTGGTGCACAATGCTGTCATCTCCAAATACACGGTCTTTGCTTTGGTAGACTGGGAGGAAATGGCTTCTGAAGTGTTCATTGGCGCAGAGAGGCATCGAACCTGCCACTGCACACCCAGGGGGACTGTTGGGTAATCCTGGTACAGTAATTGTCTGCTACCACACTTGGCTAGCATGGTAAATCCTTTAAATATGTTTTTCTCTAAAAGAAGGACAATGTCGTCACAGTCACTCCCCGCCTGCAAACCATGCTGCCCCAAATCTGTGAAGTGGCATGTGCACAGGAACAGGCAGCCTGGAACCTCTGCTAGCTCACTGGTGCATCAAGCTGCTTAAATAAAAACACCGGAAACTTCACAAACCTAATGAACCCAATTAGGAGAGTATTGTAAAGCTCTGGTCTTTTTTCCTCGTTCACTGGGAAGGGGACAGCAGCTGCATTCACTGCCTCGCCATTTGGGTAAGCATTTGCCAGCTTTCCTCAGCTGACGGCTCCAGTGCTTAGCAGCGTTGGTGAATCTGTCGGAAATGGACAGGCTTTTGCACATGGCTGGAGAAGCACATACTTCCAGTGTCTGGGCCACTCTGTAATGTAAAAGCTTCCAACAGATAAAAAAAGCTGTCTTTTGTGTTCTTAGCGGGTCACTTTCTGTGCACTGTTGTTGGGATTTTGTTTTCTTTGGGAGAAGAGCTACAGGCTCTTACTGTGTAGCCCAGAATGGCTTTGAAATCGCCTCTTGAATACTGGTACTACAATTGCATGCTACCATACTTGGGAGCATGTTATTAATTTATTTAACTTTCCTGTTAAAGAAGGTCAATGTTTTCATAGCCACCTTTCTTTCTTTCAAAGCTATTCCCAAAAGAGATCATTTCATGCTAAAATACATTTCTATATTGTACATTAGTAGGAATTATTTCAATGATTCACCTTGCTTTCTGTTCTCCCCATGTTCTTTGATGACCTAGTGGAGCAGAGACCCTTCTAAGACACTTTATGAATATCTGTTCTGCTAAAGACTGTTCGGTACCCTGTTCTTATCATTTCTTTGTCTTCTTACCTAATGTACTTTGTTGGGGGTGGGGGAGGGCTTAGTGACAGAAAGATTTCTCAGCTTGACGCACATATAATCGTCAGCCTTCTTTGTAATATCTCCTTCTGTTATTCTCACTCCATCCTCTCATAGACAACTCTTCTAATGTATTTGGCATGCACCTTTCATTTGTAAATATTCTTGTAAAATCTGTTTTGCCTGCATGCATGGAAATTCCTTAAGATTTTTCATTTATTTTCTACTTAATATACTACTTAGAGATCTCACCATGATGCTAAGTGTGCATCTATTATGTGACCTCTACCTGTTGCATAGCCTTCTAGACTGTGCGTAGTAACCTATTGCTGATCCACTTCCCAGGGACGGACAGACACTGGGTCCCATCTAATTCTTTCTACTGCAAACAGACTGCAGCTAGTCTCCTTGCACAGTTCTTTAGGCATCTTCCTGTGAAAAACTTGCTGGGGGCTCTCTTCCCAGGGGAGGAAGTGCTGGAGCATCTGAAATTCTGTTGGAGTTTTCGCTGATCCTCATGCATCTCTCCTATTCCTCTATGATCTTTTATGTTTAGCTCTTTAATTCCCCTCTTGTCATCTTTGTACAGAGTGTTGGTTTTATGTCTCTCAATACAGTGGATCCGTTTCAACCTGTTCTTCTCTTTCTCGAACTCACAGTATTGTTTATGTGTGTGTTCATTCCGCCTTTGGTCTGGCTTCCTCCAGAAACAGACTTTTTAGACAATGGTGTAGCTGGGGCTATAACTCGGGAGTAGAACACTTGTCTCACATGCCGAATTCTCTGGGTTGGATCCCCAAATGCCACAGTCAATAAATCAGCAAACAGAGTGGAAGAAAGGAAAACAGGAGAGGCTAGATTGCAAGTGTGTCTTTTTAGGTGTGAAGTTCAAGCATCAGCAGAAGCACAAAGAAGGGAAACTGAGGTGAAAAGAAATTTATAAGGGATCGTCATCATGACTGACTGGGTTCTGTCTGTCTGGGGAGTCTGGACGGGAGTGCAGAATAGGTTGCTGCCGGCCACGCTGAGGGAGTTAAGTGGGCAAAAGTAATTTCCTATGTGAGTGCTGCCCTCCATGGTGTGGTGGTTTGGGGGGCAGACTGTGGTTTTGCCAACACCTGCAGAACAAGCAGAATCACAGAGGCTTTTTGATAAGAAATTAGCTGGAAGACCTGGGACGGCAGCTGTCAAAGGCTGGACTTTCCAAGTCCTAATTTTTACTCCAGGACTTCATGCCTTTATTTTTGGGTCCTCATATGACTTTTCCAAGTTGTCATTTTATAGGCATCTTCATAAGTAGGAACAGGCAGTTCTCGCCCTTAAGCTCCCTGTGTTTAAAATGTCATCTGGATTTGTAGACATTTAGTTTCTCGTGTCAATGTTAGGTTAAATTTAGATGTTCCTTTCAAAAAGTAAGTGGAATTATTCTAAATCAAACCACACTGATAGTATGGACTTTGCTTTGACTAATTCGTGGAAGATTGGGTATTTTTATCATGGTGAATGACTTATACTGAGTCCTGTGGGCAAAGCAATTGTCCCAAAAGGGTTTAAGCTGAATCCCCCAACACTCACATAAAAAGTCACCACGCTTGAAATCAGTATTGGGAAAGCAGAGACAGAAGGTATCACGGGACTCATTGATCAGTCAGTTTAGCCTAACCTGTGAACTCCAGATCCTAGTGAGAGACCCTGTCTCACACACACACACACACACACACACACACACACACACACACACACACATACGACAGACAGCTCCTAAAAATAACCTGCAACACATAATTGTTCCATCGATGTCTCTCCTTCTAGTCACATACTTAGCTTTTAATATAATTTATTTTTCCCTCTATAAATGTACTGTGTGTTTATCACCTATTGGTTTTTGTTGCCATTGTGGATGACACACAATTGTCTCTAAGTATCTGTAGGGATTGGCTCCAGCACCCCTGAGAATACTAAAATCCATGGGCGCTCAAGTTCATTATATAAAGCAGTGTAATACTTGAATATAGTCTACATTCTCCTGTATTCTTTAAGTCATCTCTAAACTATTTGTAATCTGCAACACAATGTGAATGCAACGTAGACCAGGCTGACCTAGGACTCACTGAGAGCCGCCTGACTCTGCCTTCCAAGTGCTCGGAGTAAGGCGTGTGCCACCATGTGGGCGCTATGTGGGAGGTCACTATACTGAAGTGTTTGGGAAATGATAACCGAAAGAGCCTGGGTACACTTAGAAAGGCTACAGCTTTTCAGCCCTAAATATTTTCAACCCCTAGTTGGTTGAGTCTGTAGCTGTAGAACTAACTCATGGATTCAGAGAGCCAATTATATCTTAAACTATATTGTTGTATTACTTTCTTCTAGGCAAAGGAAATGTTAATGATCTTCCACATTGGTATTATACCCCCAGATCCTGTGAGCTCTTGTACTAGTTCTTACATCTAAACATCAAGATACTTAACTAATGCAATTCTTCACCATCACAGAGAGCAGGAAGAAAAGGACCATTGCTTATCTCAAATGAACTCAGACAAAGTATTTGATTAAGCTAGAAGTTGAAGACGGACACACCTCTTAGTGAGACAGAGAAAGAGAAGAAGTTCCTTGGCTAGGTAAATGGCAGACGTGTGCACTTTAGTGAAAAGTTTTCTTTTATAGAGAAACATATGACACATTGACAGTGTAAGAAAAAAACGGGCTTTGGTCATTGACACAAGAAAGGAACTCTTACTTGAGGACATGTTAAAGATGGATCATTTCACACCTACATATATCATGTGTTATGTTCTGATTGAAGCCCCAACATCCCTCCCCTTCCCCATCCCTCCACCACTTTCTCCTTAATAAATAACTATTCCTAAATCTTTAGCTAATAGAATACAAATTCAATCTGAGAATCCATGTCTGTAAGTGGTATATTTTGGCAAGTTCATATTGATTATAATTACTCTGTTTTTAAAGCTTTTTTCTGCCTTCTAAGCTTTACCATTTGCTGTATTATTTTCTTTTACCTTTCTCTCTATTTTAGAATTTCCTGAGATAGTATCTTGATGTTCATATATCTACATATATGTATGAATCTATAGATCAGGCTGGCCTTAAACTCATTATGTGTCTCTGTTCAGTCTCAAACTTACAGGAATCTTCCTGCCTCAGTCTCCCAACTATAGGTGTGCTTCACCGTATCTGACTCTTTTATTTGAAGAAAACACTCTTAATTATTATGATGTCACAGTGTTTGTAAAATTACAGTTTTTTCCCCAAGTTCGATTGCACTATTTCACTTTGCCATAGTAATTCTAAAGAAGAATGAAATCTTCACCAATTTTTATAAGGATAATTTTTTTTACCTTATTCCACAATTGTAGTTCTTGCTCTGGCTGTAATCTTTGAGTTGGTATTGGAGCACCTAAAGATAAAGTTTTGAATACATTAATGTTACTATATTATATTTTTCTCAAATCAGTTATTCCTATGCGACTCCTTTCCAGAATCCATTTGTCATTTCTTGCTATAAATTACTGCTAAGCTAATTCAACTAGATATGTCAGCATTTGACCTTACATAAAAACCATAATTATGAAAGAAACCCCAATAACACAGTGGAGATAGTACTTTCAAGAATGAATTACCCATATCTTTACATAAAAGCATATCTGAATACTCATAGCAGCTTTTTCAATTGACCTGAAAGAGGAAACAATCCAATAACATATGAAAAGCTGTGATAAACATTTCAAATACATCATTCCTTAGTCCTCATATCATATTATTTAAGTTATAGTAATTGGTTGCAATTAGCTACATTTTCTGTGCTGTTGATCGGATTCTGGTACGAGCATGCATGTGTGTATGTGTGCTGGGACTCAAACCAACAGCCATGAGCATACTAGGCCTTTTACTAACGATGCCCAGTCCTTTCTGTGGTAGTTGTTTTAGAAATAACTTAGAAGCATCATACAGAGAGTTGATTGCATTCAGAACCTGGTGGAACCCCTTCTCATGGAAAAACCCTTCACACAGTGATACATTTCTCACCATACCACAAACATACAGCACTGTTTTCTCATGAGCCGTATTCTGAGCTCTTTCTGCCTGCAGGAAAGGATGAATCTGTGATATCACATCTTCTTATAAAGTCTAAAGTCTCTGGAGATCTTCCTGAGAGAGACTCTGTTTGACAGGCACTTCTGTGATTTAGTCATCTTTATTTTATATGTTTGAGTGTTTGCCTGCATGTATGCATGTGCACTATGTGCATGCCTTGTGTCTGAGAAGTCCAGAAGAGAGCATTGGATCCCATGGGCAGTTGCAAGGTCCCATGTGAGTGCGTGGGAAGAGAACCCAGGTCTTCTGCGTGAGCAGCACATGTTTTTAACCACTCAGCCATCTCTCCAACCCCAGCATTTTGGTGTGAAGAATAAAGTTTTCCATTCCTAGCCCTTATCAACTCAGGACAAAGTGAAATTCCAACTCAGCTACCCTGCAGTAGGCAAGACTTCCTCACCGAGACCATAGGGACTTTGACTCCTTCCAAATCCCAGGCTCCCAGGAGCCACTTAGAAATTGCCATTGTGCTTAACCACTTCTATCAAAATCAAAAATGGGTGCTTTGTGGCCCTTCTACAAAACACATGAAGTACAGTCTCGGGGTAAGGAAGGTGTAGAACCTAAAGCATTGCTTTTCTCTCCTCTTTTCTAGAATTGATATGATGTTTCCCTAAGTCCTTGGTGTGTTATTCCAGTTTCTGCTGGGCAAACTATAAGGAAAGAAGCTTCACAGTTTTGGAAACTGAGCGTCTAAGCTCCAGCCTCTGGTGAGAGACTCAAGGTGGATAGAGGATCTGTTAGATCAGTGGTTCTCATCCTCCTGATGCTGTGATCCTTTAATAAAGTCCCTCATGTTGTGGTCACCCTCAACCATAAAATTATTTTCAATGACACTTCATAACTGTAATTTTGCTACTGTTATGAATCGCAATGTAAATATTTTGGGAGACTGAGGTTTGTCAAAGGGGTCATGATCCAAAGGTTGAGAACCACTGTGGTAGAGTGATTGTGTAATGAGAGAGACAGCCAGAGGGCAGGGAGGGGCCAGTCTCAATCTCATAACAACCCACTCTCCAATCTTCCAGAGTCGCAAGGGAACTCCTTTAATCCCTTCTCAGGCAGACTAACACACCCTTCTAGTCTCCCAGTGCCCCACTAACCCCAATTCACAAAGGCTCATCATCTCTCAGTGTTACCACACCGAGAACGACTCCGGAAGGTACGCTCAATCCCTGTCACCTGGGACGTGGACTGTCAGGACTGGCAGAAGCTGGCACTTGCACTACGCTCCACATTTTCCAAATCAACACCGCTCTTTCCTTCTAGGTCATAAAAATGGCAGCTTCTGCTCATTTTCACTCACGTATTTCTACTTAAGCACTGTGTACCAAAACAGATCTGATTACTTTGAAGCTGGCACCCATGCTGTTCTTGCTAACCTTTCCCTGCAGTTAGTGTGTGAGAAACAGCGACTATTAACGGAGCACGAAGAATTAGTCAATGAACAGGAGTTCTGGGTAGGAAAAGCATTCATTGTTAGTCTTGGCCATTTGATCCCTTATTGCTACAGGCTTAATCAGATGACTGGCAGATACCCAGAGTATATTCCTCTTTATGAGAAATCTCCCTCTTCCAACATGTCCTTTGAGTTAACTGTTTCTACCCTGCACATCTGGCTGGCTTTTATCATCTCACGAGCTCACAGCCCTTGTGTACTCTGCTACTTTTCCCCCTTTCACTATGTTTATTGACACTTATTTTCTCCTGCCTTTATGGCATTTATTCTCTCTCTCTCTCTCTCTCTCTCTCTCTCTCTCTCTCTCTCTCTCTCCCATACGTCTAGTTACATTTGTATACTGATTGCTCTTGTTAGGTTACTGCCAATTCTTGCTTATGTATGCTATGCCTGGCCCTACCCCCATGTTTAGGGGCTTGGGACTAATTGCAGATCAATCACACTGGCCATTCATCCTGCCCACTCCTCACCCTACTACATTTTAAGAGAAATGAAATTTGTTTGTTTTTCCTGTCTGAAAAGGGATGAAGGGAGAGAGAAGCAGTCAGGGGACTTGCCGACAGTGGTGGAAGCCTTTTGCTTGAATAATATCAAGGTTATTTATGATATGATAGGTCAGCCAGCAGATTTGCTCTTTTAGAAATAAAACTGACGGCTCACCTACTTTTTTCTAGAAACCTGCAGCCCACCCAGTTCTCTAAGATAGTCATTTCCCACAGCAGCAGAAGCCACTGCAAGCACCTTGCATGCAACATGCATGAAAGCATAGCTTTTTTCCCCCTAACAAAACAATTTTTAAAACTATAGTTATTAAGGCTGGTACTATGGCTAAGAGCACTGTGTTCTTCCAAGAGCCTGGGTTCAATTCCCTGAACCCTCATAGTAGCTCACAACTGTCTATCTAATTCTAGTCCCAGGAGATGCCACACCCTCTTCTGACCTCCCTGGACACCAGGCACACACGTGAGGCACAGACGTACATCCAGACAAAGCACCCATATACGTTAAATAAATAAATACCAATAAAGGTTATGATTACCTGGCTACAGGCTGTTTATCTGCTATTCCAGGCTACTGATTTCTCTGCAATGTATTAAATAAACCTGCTTTCTTTCTTCAAAGATGAAACAAAACAAAAAGTGCTATAATTATCTCTTTCCTTGAGAAGGTAAATGAAATTGTCATTCTAGTATTTCCAATAAAATATTTAAAAGAGAAAAAGGCTACTTTAGCTTTCCTAAGTCTTGGTGAATCACGGCTGCAGAAGGTTTGTATGCTGCTGTGTGGCTGCTGTTGGACTTTCATTTCCTTCAGAGGACAACTTGTGGATGCCGGGGATCTAGCTCAGGTCTTCACCCTTGGCACCAGGCACCGTTACTAGATGGACCATCTCACCGTTCCCGTTACCTTGCTTTCTAAATGAGGAAACCTATTCTTCCTCAGTGTCTCAGCCACAAAGATCAAAATGATGAAACAAAGGCTATAAAAACTCGCCAGGAAAGGAATATTTGTCTCTTTCCGTCTCTAACTGAGCGTTAGGCTATGAGCTCCGAAAGCGCTCTGCGGCTGTGATGTGAAGTCCTTAATATTTCTGAAAAATTAACAGCCTGCTGACCTGGGCCTAACTGGAGAATTTACGTTTGGAACAAGACAGTGTTTGGAATTTGAAGGACCCTAATAAGGCAGGAATGAATAGCCCCCCAGGTTGCCTGGTAACTAAACTTTCTTTACAGAACAGTCAAGGGACACATTTTGCTCTGCCACTCATTCGGAGCTTCAGACCTTCCTGGTTTTTCTGCTCCTGTGGTTTCCCGGGAGCCAAGCTGGGGGAAGTCCCTGTTGTCATCAGCTCCCACCTGCCTTGTTAGTCTTAGGTGCCCATCACTAGACACCCGGTAAGCCTAACATCGCTTCAACTTTCTGTGATCAAAATGCTAATCCTTCTGAAAACCTGTAAGCCCCCCGCCTCTCCTCCACTCTGTATGTAACCCAACAGCCAGCTTACCAGGAGGCTGAGCACACCCCAACTCAACCTCGCCTTGGAAAGGGGAGCAGTAAACTTTTTTTCCCTCCAATAACTGCGATGAAAGGGGAAATGTTTTAGTTTTCTCCTAACTCCCACTACGGAGTCTGCAGTTCATCCCCGCTGCTTCCCCAGCTGGCTGTCCCATAGCCCTGCGCCAGACCATGGCTTCAGTGGAAGGTGGGTTCTAGAAACCCGGAGAAGAGACAAGGAAGGTAGCGCAGAGAAATCGGTGCAGCGAGAGCCTGAGGAATGCAGGAGGCAGAAAGCAAAGGGTGGCATCTTACCTCTGCAGGCGTCCACGAAGCAGGCGAGGAGCAGCAGCAGTGACAGGAGCGGGGATGCCGAGACCACTTGTCCCCCAGACAGCCCTAGGCGGCTACCCGCTGCTCGCGACATCTCTGTCACTTCCAAGCGGCTCTGGACTGGCGACCAGGGACCCTGTGCTGTGCGGGTGTTCTGGTTGTCCCTCAGCGTCCCGTCCCTGGTGTGTCTTTTGTTGAGCTCAACCACCAAAGCGACCATCACCGCGCACCGCCAACTTTTAAATCTGGCGCACACGTGGGCTGGCCTGTGTGGTCTCCGCGCGTGACCTCGCCGCCCCCTGGCTCCCTGGCGTCACCCGGACCTGCAGCCGCCCCCGCGGGACATGCTCTCCCTGGCCGGGTGTCTGACTCAGGGCACCACGCAGCTGGCTCTGAGCTGGAGACTGAAATTAAACCACGGCGGTTCACTCCCACTTCTGGTGGGACTTGGGCGGGAGCCAGAGGGGTTGTCAGCATCCAGAGCCTGAAATCAGAGTGGTCAGGTTGGCGGAGGTGGCAACACTGTCCCTTGTGTCTCTTGGAATGGCACAATATGCCTAGTCCGTTTGTGTGGGTTCCCTGGCCTGCAGTTACTTGAGCTCCGAGTCTTCTGGCTGTCAAAGTGCCTCTTTTTTCCCTCCCCTGCTTGAACTCCAGTTTGGTGTACAGTACCCAGGGCGTCAGAGCGCTGCTACTTCTGCCACAATATAGTGAGGACCATGACTATGCAATCCAAAGCCCCAAATGCCTGCAAAGTCCGAAATCATTCATGGAGATGCAATTGTCAGTTTGAAAACGTGAAGAGGAAAGGACAGAACTTGGGCACAGTGGTTGAGATGTAGAAGGTGCGGTTGTCTGCAGGGCACAAGGCTAAGGTGGCCTTTTCTCCCCCGAGGATGCTCTTCCCTCTAATTTCCAGCGGAACCTCACTTCCGCTATCCCCACACTCCAGGAACCAGCCTCTAACAGGACCCGGAGAAATGCAATTCTAATTTCCTTCTGCAGAAGAAAGGGCAACTGATCTTATTTGACCTCTTTGAAAGGTGAGGAGCTCCAAGGAAAGGGCAGGAAGGAAGCACAGTACGGTTCCTTAAAGGGGCACTTTGGGGTCATGTAGCCATGAACTTTCTCATGCAATTGCATTTAATATTCATGACATATCTGCAGTGTAAAAAATCCTAAAAAAAACTATTGTAAAACACACTGTTAAAATGTATGTAAGAAAATTCTGATTTAGAGAGAGTGACAACCTAGCCAAGCTTAGCAATCCCTAAAGACAATTAACTTTTGGTAAAACATTCTAAATCCATACCCAATACTGTGCAATGTGAGGCAGAATGGGGTTGTGTCTTTACAAAAACAGAGAGAAGTAGGAATGAAACCCTGGTGATTAGATTGAAAAAAAAATACTGGTTACCATTTTAAAGTTAATTATATACAAGACACACGTGAGAAAGGTAAGGTTATAATGTGGTGATGGAGGAGAATATATTTGATTGAAGACTGCTTGCATCTTGGTGCAATCCCGAAGTAGTAATAAATGAACTAAGGCACATGGTACAGGGGAGCAGAGAGACCCATAATGGAGCAGGGGCTGGGGGTTGTGGGTCTGGTCCTCTCCTGTCTTCCTCATGTCTCACCGGGGTCTCTGAGAGATCCCGGGTCTAAGGAGCCAGTGTGCTGTGGGTCAGCCACGCCCACCGGGTGCTGTCTTTACCATGCCCCTCAGTGCCAGGAGTGGAAAAGAAAATGCAGCCAGGCTGGGCTGCTCTGAGTGTTCTCAAATGAGTCCCTGGGCCACACGTGGGAGAGTTTCCTGCGCTGTATACCCAGGGATGGAATTATGAGGTCAAAGAGGATGATCTAGTTAAACTCGATAGCAAATAGGTTTTTAAATGATTATGTGACTTATACTCCCATCAACATTTATGGAATGAAGTTTCCATAGCTGCTAATTCATGTAAAAAAAAATCTTTGCCAGCCTGGTGGATGTGGTATTTCATTGTGGATGTACTTTGAAGTTTCTAGTTTATCAATGAGACCAGCTGCTTTTTTTGTAAGTATATTGACCATTATTGTTTCTTCTATAGTGAACATCCATTGATCTTGTCTTCCCACCCTTTCACTTGGTTAGTTAGTTTGTGTTCTCGCTGATTTATGTAGAGGCTTTATGTACTGTGGAACACTTTTTGGTTAAACTGCAACAGACACCTCCCTACTTGTGGCCTCTCTATTGTCTCATGTGAGTTTCCATTTTTGAAGATGTGTTTAAGGAAACATGGACCCAGAGGTCACATCATTCTGAGACATGGATAGCAAGACAAGGTAGATGCGTGAATAGGGCAGATTACAAAGATGGGGAATAATTAAATGGAAGGTGATTGCACATGTACACAACACTTTGTCTCAACACTTTTTAAAATAAAAGCTAAACTCTAAATCTGGATTATATCTCAATTTCTAACAAAGAAAGAGGCCAGGACTAGATATGACAGGTTGGGCTGGACACTGGGAATCAAGTTAGTGGGAGCTAACTGTGCCTCTTTGTGTTACAAAATCCAAGTTTTGTCGTATACTGTATCTTTGTCTTCATCTATCTCTGCTAACCCTGTAGATACTAACCTCTCCCTTTCCAAAGTCAAGTCTTTTGATTGGAAAGATGTTTGGATGCACTATTCTTACTGGAAATCACCCCCACGGATCGACTTCTCAGGAGACAACCAAAGCCATTACTTTATACAATGAATACATCACTTCAAACAAGACTGTCTCACGTGACCAAAGATCAGCTGGAGACCGAGTGCGCAGGACAGTCAAATGCATAAAAAGAGGAAGAAAAAAGGAGGAGGAAAAGAGCAGGGGGCGGCACTAAACACCTATCAATCCAACCCTTAGGAGGCTAAGGCATAAGAGTTCCAGCGTGAGCCTAGACTACGTAGCCAGACCCTGTCTCAGGAATCCGTAAACCAAAGCAAAACAAAACAGCAAAAGTATAATAAATACAAGAAAGAGAGGGACGCACGCCAAGTAGGTCATTGCTGTTTAAGAATTCCCACTGTGGGGTAATTGATGTTGGTGAGACAGCAGGGCACGGAACTGTGAGGAATACCACAGTTTGCTTTCTGTACTTGCTGTTAATAGTCATTTAAAGTGCTTTCCAGAAATAATAAGTCATGCTGTTCAAAGGCCTTCCCCATGAAGTGATTTCCAGTTTCACCCAATGTGCGCTGTCACTGGGAGGCAAGGTGATGGCAAGGGAAAGGCCCACGTGAAAGTCCAAAGCTGCCTTGGCTACTCTTCTGCCGCACAGAACTGGTTTGGGGACTCTTAAAGTCCACTGCCATTTGCAGGTAGGTGTCTAGTTACTGACTGGTCACTCAGACTGTTTGTGACATCGCCCACAGTGGACAATCATTAGTTCGGACAATGCCTCCCACAGATATATAGGTAACTTTATGAAGATTTTTTTTTCCAACTTAGGGTCTGTCTTCCCAGATAACCCTAGCTTGAGTCAAGTTGCCAAAAGTCAACTAGCACAGCCTCTCACACAGACTTTCAGAGAACTGTGTCAATAGTTCAACAGCACTTGAGTGTCAATAGTACTAAGGTAGGTGACATATTGCCTTCTTGATGACGTTATCCTTCCCCATCTCCTGATAGTAAATGGTACCTTCCTTCCACCCAGCATTTCCTATCTTCCTTGAGTTGTTTCCTTTGTTCTCCTAAAGACTTACTACCACCTGTTACATGTTTTGTCTGCATGCATGTGTGTGTGTGTGTGTGTGTATAAATGGATATATGCAATGTGTGTTTAGTTTTCTCCTTCCAGTAGAAAATTCTGATTCTGGGATTTAAATATTTTTAGCATTTGAAAAGGCATTTAGTCTATATTAGCTTTCCTAGTGTTTCAATATCTCAAGATTTTAGTGCTGTTAGAACTTGCCTCATGGTGAACACTGCAGGTTATGAAAATTAACAAGGGAAATAACAGGATCTATGACATTTTAATTAAATTTTATGCAGCCTTTAAGTGCACACACACACACACACACACACACACACACACACACCCCACCCTGTAAATGATGCTATTGCCTTGCTTTGTGTGGGAACGAGAAGTAAGCTATTGCCCTGCATCTTCCTGGGTTCTACTCCCTACTGTGTTCTAGTCCATCTGGGAGGCCTGGAACTGATAGACAATGTTATTAATCATATGGGAGAAAGTGAGAACAAACAGAGGCCTTGTTAGGGATGGGGCCGCTTAACCAGGAGAGCAGGAATTATTGGAGGCATCAGTACATTCTTGAGGGACTGTGGTGAAGCTGGCTCTTCCCTATGTATCTCACAAGTCAGGACAGTGTTGGCTACATGGGAGGAGCTTTCTTGGAATGACATCAAGTAGCAATGAGAGACAGAGGGAGGGGGAGAGGGCACAAAGGGAAAAAGAAGGAAAGGGATGAAGGGAAGGGGAGAGAGGGGGGCAAGAGGCAGAAAGAAGAGGAAGGGAGGGAGAGAGAAGGATGTTCCAGCCATCCCTGAAACTAATTCCATCTTTTGACTGCCATTTTGGACTGAGGATATAGTTTGGATAGAGTGTTTACCTGCCATGCACAAAGCCCAGAGTTCGATCCCTAACACCACACAAACCAGACGTGGTGGTGGCAAACTTGTAGTCTGAGCACACCGAGGTAGAGAAGTTCAAGTTCATCCTTGCCTATATAAGGTCATCCATGGCTGTATAGCAAGTTCTAGGCCAATTTGGGCTACTCAAGACCTTGTCTCAAAGAACAGAATCCTGCTAATTTTTCTTTTTGAGATCTGAAGTCCTCAAGAGTGAGTGGCCCTCAGTACACACCTAACAACATTTAGGATGCTGGTGATAAACAAAGGAAGAGACTGATTTGAAAGCATCTATTTCCACTCCCTTTTGAAATAGTTTATGACGAGAAGTGGAAATGTATAGAAGTAGAAGATCGTGAAGAAGGGAATTTGTTTTCTTCTATGATATTTTCTAAGTCCTATGTATTCAGTAAGATGGGCCTGGAGGTAATAATCACAATTGTCTTTAAGCAGCCAGGCTTCTCAAAGAACACATGACCCAGGCTCTCAGAAACTCACTGAGGATCGATCAAGACAAAGTTATGTCATCCTGGCTGGTCTTGAACTCTAGGCTCAAAGTATCTTCCTGCTTCAGTCTGTCAAGTAGCGGAAACTACAGGAGCGTGTCCCTATGCTTGGCTTAAAATTGCTTTCCTTTTCCTTAATGGTGCTGATGGATTCAGGTCTTCTTACTGCTAGGCTGGAGAGCTGCCACCTAGCTGCCCCCATATCATCTTATTCCCCCCTTAGGACAGAGACTCCCGTGTATTCCAAACAGGTCTCCAGCTGCAGATCCTTTTGTCTCAGCTTCCCAAGAACTAGGATTATGGTGCTGTACAACACACCT